AATTTTGGAACCAGCCTAATTCCTGTTTTCACTGGCTCCTTTGTTTTGTTTTGGTTTTTTGGGGTTTTTTTGGGGGGGGTTGTTTGTTTGTTTGTTTGTCTTTCCTAGCCCTTTTCTGACCTTGGCCGTACTGTCTCTTGTCACTCTTATGATTTGTATAGAAGCAAGTTTCCTCCTTGAGTGCTGCACAAATTCCTCCTTGTGGTAAAAACAATAGGTCTAAGCCTTGCCTGTTCTGGAGGATGACCCTGAGAGAGAGAAACAGAGAGAAAGGAGAGAGAAGGGACATAATTATGCTCCAGAGGTCTCAGGCCCAGTTTTCCTCTGTTCCACAAATCTCATCAAATGGTCTGGCAGCCACTGGGGGGCCTCATTTTCTTCCTGCAAGAAAACACAAACATGCCCTCGACCCCATATTAGGACAGGATCGGGCCCTCTTCGTAGTCTAGTACATGGATTTTTCCATTTGACTTGAGTATAAGTCTCTTGAATTCCATCATGCCAGAATCTGTCTGCCACAGATTGCTCATGGGCATCCACATTCAAAAAATTTAAATGAAGAGTGTATGATTTAATGTATCATGTGGAGACTGTGGGCATGACTCCCCTCTCCTTATATGTATAAGTTGTATTTTCAAGGAGCTATGAGCATGCTCCACAATTCCTTGCCTTTGAGGGTTATAAAGAATGCCTGCTATGGGTTTAATTTTCCACTGGGCACAAAATTGCTGAAATGTTTTACTAGTATATCCAGATCCATTGTCTGTCTTTATAATATTTGGAACTCCCATGTAATCAAAACATTTTAAACAGTGACTTATCACATGCTTAGTGGCTTCTCCAATTTGTGTAGTAGCCAGTAAGAAGCCTGAAAATGTATTGACTGCCACATGCACATATTTTAATCTGCCAAATTTTGCAATATGAGTAATATCCATTCGCCATAAATTATTAGGAAGCAGGCCTGAGGATTTACTCCTATATTAGTTACAGATAAATATTGTGGGCACACATCACATTGTTTGACAATTTGTCAAGCAGTTTTTGTAGTTAAACCAAACTGGTTTTTTTTTTTTTTTTTTTTTTTAGACTATTACTATTTTGATGATGAAAGCTGTGTGACTGCTGAGCTAATTTTACCTGAGACAAAGCGACCATTCTTGTCAGTCTATCAGCTGACTCATTACCTTCAGCCAGTGGGCGGGGAAGGTTTGAATGAGTTCTTAAATGACCCACAAAGCACAGTGACTCCCTTTACAATGAATGCCACTCTAAATTTGCTCAAAAAGTATTTAAACCTGATTATTACTAGTTCCAATGTATGGAACTATATCTAAAACTTGAAGAGCTCTGAAAACATAATGACTATCAGTATATAAGTTAAATGAATCATTTATTAGAATTGAAAAACTATTGCAACAGCTTGTAACTCAACTATGTGACTGAAGCTGGATCTATCTGTACTACATAGTCTTTTCCATAAATAATATAAGCTGCTTTTCCATTAGAAGAACCATCAGGAGAAACTAACATAGTATTTCTTACAGGATTACTCCTTACAATTTTAGGGAATACAAAAGGATACATTAGCACAAATTGCAACAGTCTATGAGCTGGAAACTGATTATCAATTTTTCCCAAAAACTGAGCAAAAGCTGATGGACCAAAAATTACAATTAATAAAAGTTTTAAAACTTGGGCCCTAAATCTATACTGAGAAAGGGAACTTCTAATGGCAAAAGGACATTAACTCCTTAAATCAGGAGTGCCATGGCTGGTGCCTGAGCCCACTCTCAGAGAAGGGGAGGTAACCCCACCACCACCTAAGTTAACATTCCTTTGCCTACTAATTGCTAGTTGTAAAGGTTTTGAAATAACCAATCAACTTGATGTTTGGTATAGGGAACATGTATTATGCTTGGTTCCCTGACAAAATATCTCCTAGACTCCATTCCACATTTTTGTACCATACAAGCTACTGCTTTAAAATATGGATTTAACAATTTGGCTGGGGAAACAGGTAAATGCAATCATAACAATGGTCCCCTTGCCATAAGACAGAAGTCGGACTATAAGCATGTAAGCCTCCCATGGTTTTGCATATCTGCTGATGCTGGATTGCATTCTCCAATTGTAGGAGAACTTATTTACCCTCTTTAGTTAGCTGTCTAGGTGAATTGGGATCACTATCTCCTTTCAGAATATCGCTTAAAGGTTTTAAGTCACCAGTAGATGTTTTTAAAAAAGGACATAACCATTGAATATTTCCCAATAACTTCTGAAAAGCATTTAATGATCACAAGCTATCTTGTTTTTTTTAATTTGTAATTTTTGAGGTCTTATTTCTTTAGGATGTAACATATGTCCCAAAATATTTTTGAAGATTCTTTTTCTAATCCGACATGTAAAGCTTTCATTAGCTGACATGGTCTCACTTGCATTTTCAAGTTAGGCGGGGCCTAACAGGGCTGCAGTTCCCTGAGGCTTTTTCTCAATAGCTTTTTTAAAATTTTACATTAACCTCCATTCTTTCTATTTCTTTTTTATAACCACAAAAATAAGAGAATTTTTGTATTTTCTCCTCTGTTAAACTTTATTGAACCATCTATAGAAGCTCCTATGGCTCTCAGGCCATGCTGACTTTGGCCATTTCCTGCCAACCCGCTCTGGGGGGCCAGCCCTAGGAGGCGCAGATCGCCAACTCTTCCAATTAAGACACTGACCTTTTGTTAGGATTTATACATTCATTGTAAAGAGTATGGTTTTTCCGCCCGCCGCTGGTCTTGTCCCACCACAGCGCCAGCCCCAAGTAACGCACAGAGACTCTGTATTAGATATAATTCTGTTGGCCCGGTACTAGTTTCTTATCGGCTAGCTCTGTCTTAAGTATTAACCCATTTCTGCTGATCTATGTATTTCCACGTGGTCTTACCAGCGAGAGGCGGCTGGCGGTTCTGCCTTCTCCAGACTCTCCATCTTGACCCCTCTTTCCTACTTCCTCTTCCCTCCTTGTCTCCTAGTCCTTCCTACCTTCCTTTCCTATTGGCCAACAGTGCTTTATTCATTAACCAGTATGAGAAACATATACATAATGGCATCTCCCATCAATTCATAATCACACTTCATACATGAATGTGTGGCCACACCATACATACAGAACATACATACATCTTTTAGCCCTCCTTTTCTTCTAGGCCAAGATTAGTTTGTTGAAATAAAACATCCTTAACTGAAATCTCTTGTAATGTAGCTGTTATAGATAACCCTTGAATTATGAGCATCCAAAATCTGAACAAATCCCAATAAATTTATCTATGTCACCTCCTTTTTTTAAAAAAAAAATAAGGTCTTAAAACAGTTTCCAACAGGATGCATTAATTTTCCAAACACCTGTCTGGGCATTAGCCACGGCAGCAGCTCCTAAGGCTGCAGGTCTCTAGGTCCATCCTGCCTTTGCTCTCTGGGCCTGGGCTGGCCCCCTGCAGTTCATCTGTGACTATAGTGGCTTGAAAAGTAAATAACCACCATTGTAGCAACTCTGAGTTCTTGGCACTCACAGGTCCTGCTGCCCTAGTGCATATGCAGGGCCACACCTTTGCTTCCATAAGCCCTAGAGCAGCATGTTTGGGGGGGGGTGCTGTAGAGCAGGGGGTTTATAAGGTCGGGAATTGCAGAGCAGAGGCAGGAGCAATGTTAGGAGAGTCATAACAGTCCCACTCATATTTGGCTGCCTCCTCCTCAAGGTTAGCCTCTTCCCCCCACAGAGAGGTCTCCTGGGTCTCTCTCTCTCTCTCTCTCTCTCTCTCTCTCTCTCTCTATTTATTTATTTATTTATTTATTATCAAGGTTGGGCTGAAGAGGCCCCTCCTCGAAGGAAGGCTTCGTTTCAGGCACCAAAGGGGGCTGGGAGGAGGAATCCTTAAGGGATCCTTCTCCCTCAGAGACCAATTTTTAGAGGTCTGACCACTGGGAGGTTGTCTTAAGGACAACCTGAATCAGGTTCCAATAACTGGAGGTAGTAGTAAGGTCCCTTTTCTTAACCCTAATTCCTTGTATCTGCGGAGCTTCCTTGAGCCCAAAAAGAAACATGTTTTTGAGAAATTGCTTGTCCTTACTTACCTCACCGGAAGATCTGCACTGTTGCTCACCACCACTGATAGTCGTTCTTTGTTGGTGGGTCACCTGTGGGACACTCTGGAAGGGTCCTTCTCTTTCGTGAGTGGTGTTCTTTCCTAGATGTCCTCTGCCAGCCCTACATTGGGTGCAAATTCTGCCCCAACCCTCCTCAGTCCACTGCCCCCATCCTGGCAGTCATTGCTGTCCTGGTTCTCATTGGAGCTCCGACCATCATTGGAGCTGTGGTGGCTGTGGTGAGGAAGAGCAGGAGAAACACAGGTAGGAAGGGGCAGAGTCTGAGTTCTCTCTCAGCCCCTTTTAGAATTGTGCTATGCCTCATGGAAACATATCCATACCCTCATTGCTCCTGTCCCTGAACTGGGTCTGCTGTTGGTTCTGGAATATTCCTAGGGTCAGGCTTCTCCCTGGTCTCTCACAGCTTTTTTCTTCTCACAAGTGGAAAAGGAGGGAACTATGCTCCAGCTCCAGGTAAGTGTGGGGAGCAGGGTTGTCCCTGAGACCCTTGGCAAGGACCTGGAGTGTTTGCAGAGATCTACACTCCTATTAGCTCCTCCAGCAAAGTCTTCTAGGGGCCATGTTTTTATCTTCTTATGAATATACATGTGTGTGTGTGTGTGTGTGTGTGTGTGTGTGTGTGTGTGTATTTTTTACTGGGCATTTACACTGGGCAGGGACAGTTCCCAGAACTCAGATGTGTCTCTCCCAGACAGTGAATGTGACACTCTGGGACCAGATTGGAGGGAGAATGGAGGGGGAAAAGTCTACATTTTTGGGTATCAGGGACTCCCAGAATCACTGTGAGTGAATGTTGTGTTGCTCAGATGTTGTCTTCACAGTGATTGTTCCTGACTCTTGTTCTGTAGCATGAAGACAGCTGCCTGGCATGGACAGACTGACAGACAATGTGTTCAGGCGTCTCCTGTGACATCCAGAGACCCTCAGTTCACTCTCAGCAACAGTGTCTGATGTTCCCTGTGATCCTATGGGCTCCATGTGGAGAACTGGGAGCCCAGCCCAGCCCTGCACACCAGGACCCTGTCCCTGCACTGCCTGTGATCCCTTCCATGATCAACCCTCCTGTTCCAGCACAGAGGAGGGGACATCTCCATCCTGTCACCGCCATGCTGCTCTGAGCTGCAGTCCCTGATTTCTCCACAAAAATAAGGATCTGAATGTTGCCAGGTGGTAGCACACACCTTTATCCTAGCAATACTTGGGAGGCAGAGGCAACTGGACCTCTGTGAGTTTGAGATCAGCTTGGTCTACAGAGCAAGTTCCAGGACGGCCAGGGCTACACAGAATATGAACTTGACCTGAAGAATTGATTGGTTTGGTTTGTGAATTAAAGGGGAGAATATTTAGTTTTGTGGAGGAAATCAGTGGCAGCGTGGAGAACCTCCCAGAGTCTGTGTTCATTGTGCTCTGTGCATCTGGAGGGACTGGTGAGGCTGTGGAGCTGAGTGAGAACAAGGCTGTGTCCAGGAGGAGCTCAGTCCATTGCTGGCTATGGCATGGTCTCTCCTCAGCTCTGTCACCTGCTGGCTCTGTTCTCTTCATCCCTTAGAACCACATGCTGAGATCTGTGGTCACAGGGACACAGGGATGGCTGGAGCCCTGTCCTGTCCCCAGGACTGTGAGTAGTCAAGGCTACTGTGACAGGTCAGTGTGGCCCCAACCTGGCTGTTGCTCTTCCCCCATTCTTCCATGTTTATTTCTTGTAATTTTGGTTTTTTATATGGAGGACTAGGCCTTTTCTTGTTCCTGTGAGTGATGCCTGTCTCATTCTCTTTTGGAGTCTCTGGGTGTCCTTGTCCCCTCAAGGTCCACCCAGGCCCATGCACTCAGGAGACTGTGGCCTGAGAACATGAACTTCAATCTCCTTCAAGGCCCCTCCCTGGAAGTTCTCTCCTAAGGCCCCTCCCTGGAAGTTCTCTCCTCCTTTCCCATCTTTCAGAATGTAACCCTGGTTGTAGCATGAGCATTGAAGAGGGATCACAGGATCTCTTCTTGGATGGGGTCCTATTGGATTTATGTTCTGCCCCCTCTTCATCCTAGGTTCTGGGAATCCTGGTGTGTTGTAGAATATTATTTTAACATATATTACATTTGTTTATACTGTGTAACATTTATTAAATGATGCAAAACTGTGTTGCATTCTTTTATGTTGCATTTGTTTAACTCTGTCTAAAACACCTAATTGTTCTAATTAAGCGCCAAAACCTTGAAAGGATAATAATCGACTTTATATGGAAAAACAAAAGATCCAGGATAGCCAAAACAACCCTGTACAATAAAAGGACTTCAGGAGGCATCACCATCACTGACTTTAAGCTCTACTACAGAGCTATAATTCTGAAAACAGCCTGGTATTGGCACAAAAATAGACAGGTAGACCAATGGAATTGAATCGAAAACCCTGATATTAACCCACACACCTACGAACACCTGATTTTCAACAAAACAGCTAAAAGCATACAGTGGGGGGGGGGAGGAAAGCATCTTAAACAAATGGTGCTGGCACAATTGGATGATGGTGTGTAGAAGACGGCAGATAGACCCATGTCTGTCGCCATGCACAAAACTCAAGTCCAAATGGATCAAAGACCTCAACATCAATCCAGCCACACTGAACCTCTTAGAAGAGAAAGTAGGAGGTACCCTTGAACAAATTGGTATAGGAGACCGCTTCCTGAACATAACTCCAGGAGCATAGACACTGAGATCAACAATTAATAAATGGACAAGACCAAATGGCAGCCCACAGACTGATCTCCAAAATATACAAAGAACTCAAGAAATTAGTCAACAAAACACCAAATAACCTTATTTAAAAATGGGGTACAGAACTGAAGAAATAATTCTCAATAGAGGAAATCAAAAAAGCTGAAAGACACTTAAGAAAGTGCTCAACATCCTTAACTATCAGGGAAATGCAAATCAAAACAACTTTGAGATACCATCTTACTCCTGCCAGGATGGCTAAAATTAGAAACACCAATGACAACTTATGCTGGAGAGGGTGTGGAGAAAGGGGAACACTCCTCCACTGCTGGTGGGAGTGCAAACTTGTACAACCATTTTGGAGATCAGTATGGCGGTTCCTCAGGAAAATGGGAATTAATTTACCACAAGACCGGAAATGCCTCTCTTAGGCATATACCCAAATGATCCACATCCATGCAACAAAGACATCTGTTCAACTATGTTCATAGCAGCACTATTTGTAATACTAAAAACCTGGAAGCAACCTAGATGTCCCTCAACTGAAGAATGGATAGAGAAGATGTGGCACATCTACACAATGGGAATACTACTCTGCAGAAAAAAAATAATGAAATCTCGAAATTCGCAGGCAAGTGGATGGCACTTGAAGAAACCATCCTGAATGAGGTAACCCAGTCACAAAAAGAGGAACATGGTATGTACTCATTCATATATGGATTTTAGACCTATAGCAAAGGATCACCAGACTATAATTCACACCACCAGAGGAACTAGGATACAAGGTGTATTCTAAGAGATTCATATAAGGTCCCTCACAAAAGGGAGAAGGGACAAGTCCCCCAGAGCACATGGGAAGTGGGGGGGGGGGGGACAGTGAATGGAGAGAGAACTAGGAGAAAGAGAAGGGGAGGAGAGGAAAGCACGTGGGACTAGGAATAGAAGACAGGAGAGAGAGAGAGGGAGAGAGAGAGAACATAAAAGAGGGAGCCATTTGAAGAGAAAACTGAACCTAAAGAAAGGTCTAGAGACCTACAAGACTGTTGGGAGCTGGCCTTGAGTCACATCCTCTAGCAAAATAATGTATACCTTAAAACTCTAATTGAGCCTTATCTTGGTAAAGCAGAAAACTGCTGAAAAAGCAGTCTGTTCCATTCAACCCAGGAACTGAGATGAACTAAGACGCCAGGAACTGAGATAGGCAGACATCTAGGGTGTGATATTTTTGGCCTGGGAAAATACCAGAGCCCCAGAGTCAACACAGCTACCCCTCCCCATTTCCTCCCTGCCTTGCTTTAAAAACCCCTCTTTGTGCCTAATAAAGTTAGACCTTGACAAAGATTGCTTGGTCTCGTTCCTTCTTTCTCTCCCATTATTTTCAGGTTCTAGCCCACCTCGACCCACAAATAACTAGGCCCAGCTGGTCGGGGCAGGTGTCGCCCAACGTGGATGCTCGAGGGAGGGTTTTTACCGAACGGAGTCCCCCAACCCTGAAGAAAGTCGGTAGCGCGCACGGAGAAGAGTGCCGGACCTGCAGACCTGAGAGCTACAGCAAGGCGAAAAATTGGAATCCGTCCTCACCGCTCATGAGTTCCCCCCCGCGTTCCGTTCCATAATAATGGGTTAATCCTTGTCCAAGGAAGTTAAGTTCATTAGGAACTTCAAGTCTTCCTTTCAAGAAAGTAGGAATTAGAGCTTCATATAAAGAGTTAGTAAGTTTCTTTTCTTTCCTTTCTAAAAATTGTCCTTAGGTTATTCACCCCTAACATGGGAAAAGGTGCCTGAGGATCTTAATAGAGTACATAAAAAACAGGACCTAGAGGCCCTAAGCCTTAGGAACTCCTGCTGTGGCTAACTCCCAGCCAAGTGTATGGAAAAATTAATGTAGCCTGTCAGAAACAGGTGAATTTATCGAAAATTGTTCATATTTTGGATGCTCATAATTTAAGGGTTGTGTATAACAGCTGCATTACAAGAAATTTCAATTAAGGATGTTTTATTTCAACAAACTAATCTTGGTCTAAAGAAAAAGACAACTAAAATATGTATGTATGCTCTGTATGTATGGTGTGGCCACACATGTGAGTGTCTGAGTGTCGGAAGTGTGATTGTGAATGTGTAAATGTATGAATCCCAACTATAGGCACTACTTAAATTGCTTGGGATATAAAAAAATCAAAACAAAACATAATACAGAGAGAGACATCAGGTCATGTCTTAATTAAAAGGGTTGGAGATCTGCATCTCCCATGACTGTCTTACAGAGTGAAACAATAGAAAATGGTCAGAGCCAGAGAAATCTGTATGGACGTCTCAAAAGAGTTTAACAGAGGAGAGAATACAAAAATCTTCCTAAATTTTGATGGTTAAAAAAGAAATTGAAAGAATGGAGATTAATGTAAGATCTGAGAAAAGCTATTGAAAGGAGGCCTGGGGAAACTTCAGGGCCTATAACCACACCTGGAGAGGTGTCAGTGAAAATGCAAATGAGACTAGGTCAGCTAATGAAAGCTTTATAGGTCAAAGTAACAAGTTTTCAAAAGTATTTGGGACTTATGTTGCATCCTAAAGAAATTAGGCCTCAAAGATTAAAAATTTAAAAAAATAGCTTATGATCATTGATTTTCAAAAGTTATTAGGAAATATTCCAATGGTTACATCCTTTTGTAAAAGGCACCTACTGGTGATTTGAAACCTTTAAGTATTCTCAAAGGAGATAGTAATCCCAATTCACCTAGACAGCTCACTGAAGAGAATAGACAAGTTCTCTTACAATCGGAGAATACAATTCAGCATCTGCAGATATGCTATATTGAGTATACAAAACCATGCAAGGCTTATGTACTTCCCACACAGCATAGTCCAAATTCTTTCTGTCTTATGGCAAAGGGGACCATTGTAATGGTTGCATTTACCTGTTTCCCCAGCCAAAGTGTTAAATCCTTATTTTAAAGCAGTAGCTTGTATGGTACAAAATACTGTCTAAGAGATATTTTGCCAGAGAACCAAGCATAATACATGTTCCCTATACCAAATAGTAAGTTAATGGTTATTTCTAAATCTTTACAACCAGCAATTAATAGGCAAAGGAATGTTTACTTAGATGGTAAGAGGTTACTTCCCCTTTTCTGAGAGTGGGCTCAGGCACCAGCCCTGGCATTCCTGACTTAAGGAGTTAAATTTCTTTTATCATTAGACGTTTCCTTCCTCTGTATAGATTTAAGGCCTATGTTTTCAAGCTTTAATTAATTATAATGTTTGGTCCATCAGCTTTTGCTCAGTTTTTGGAAAAAATTGATAATCAGTTTATAGACATTACAATTTGTACTAATACATCCTTTTGTATTAGTAATCCTGTTAAAAAATGCTATGTTAGTTTT